TATTCTTCAGGCTGCTTATGTTGACATCTGATGAAGTCCCATTCCAACTTCAGAGAGTGGCGCTTCAGGAACCTCTGGATCTTGGTCACATGGTGATCACGGTATGATTTCAAAGTAGTGCAATATGGCCCTGATGTGCTGCGGCATAAAGACGTAGCCTGTATACAGCGCCATCCCCACTACAGAAACCAGCATTGAATTGAACACAGTCCGCTCCCAGGGCTCCAACATGTAGAGCGCAGAGACGAGCAGGTACTGGTAGTAGAACCAGGGCATTTGTTTCCAGGCCCGCGCCAGCGCCATTCCATTCATGCGCTTTCCGCAATGAGGTCGATCGTCAGTCTTCCATTATCTTTTAATTGAATGTTTCCACAAACTTTTTGATGCCCCCCTTATGTAATCATATAATCTTTAATTCTTTGGAAACTTGATAAAATATTTTTCAAGAACTCATTAGTATTTTCTTATGTGAACGAACTTAAACATTAATTTAGCGATTTTTTTTTTTTTAACATTGTTGAGTAGCTTGTGATTGTTACTGAACCTTTAAAATAGATTTGTCAGTTAATTTTAATACTTTAAAATAGATTTGTCAGTTAATTTTAATACTTTCATGACAGGGTAACAAACTTTATATACACGACTTGCTCTTAGATAGCAAAGAATGAAGAATAGACTTCATGAATTTTGTGAAATAGTAACTGATCGACCTAAATTCAAATGGCCTAACCAGATGTGACACTGTGGGTTAATGCACTGGACTGCAAAGTCGGTTTGAACCACAAGGTTGGCGATTCAGGCTCATCAGCCATTCCTTGGAAACCCTATAAGGAATCGCTATGGGCCGGAACCAACTCGTCTTAACAACAACAACCAAGATTTTATTTTTACTTACTGAAAGTATAAATGATGAGCCTAGGGTAGTTTAAGATTGACAAAATGTTGGAAATTGGAAACATACGGTAATGGCTAAGTGGAGACTAAAGAAATCAGGTGCTATTAAAGCTAAAAGGCAGCTTGGTTGAGGAATATGTGCATTTTTAGTCAGATGTTTTCAGTGGATTTACTACAGACTCTGGTGTGATGCTGTGGGTTAATGTACCAGACTGCAAAACCATTTGAACTTCAAGGTTGGCTGTTCAAGCTCACCAGCGGCTCCTCGGAAACCCTATCCAGGGTCGCTATGGGTCAGAACCAACTCGATGGCACTTAACAACAACAACTACAAAAGAGTCCTAGTGTGGCGCTGTAGGTTAATGCACCAGACAGCAAAGTCGTTTGAATAGCAAGGTCCGTGGTTCAAGCTTACCAGTCGCTTCTTGGAAACCCTATACAGGGTCACTATGGGTCGGAATCGACTCGATGCTACTTAACAACAACAACTACAAAAGAAGAATATAACTCCTTCAGTATACTTAATTGGACTCTTGGTGTGGCACTGTAGGATCAGCACTGGACTGAGAACCACAGGGTCAGCAGTTCAAACCCACCAGCTGCTCCTCGGAAACTCTATACAGGGTCGCTATGAGTTGGAACCAAATCAACTTGATGGCACTTAATGACAACAAATGTACTTAATATACAGCTCTTCCTTGGATACCCTATACTGGATCTCTATGACTCAAAACGGACTCAACGGCATTTAACAACAGCAAAGCACTAGAATCCTGGTGTGGTGTTGTAGGATAAGCAATGGCCTACTAACTGCAAGGTTGGAGGTTCAAACTCACCGGTTACTTCTTTGAAACCCTGTACAGCGTCACTGCGTCTGAACTAACTCGAAGACACTTAACAACAACAACAGCAAAGCACTGAGGAGTTACACCTACCTTTGTCAGTTTAACCTGTAAATAAAAAAGACAATACAAAGCCGGTGTCTTTTATCTAGAAAACTATTTGAGATTGAAAAGAAAAGAACAACTTAGAAAGGAAATTATTTTAAATATCTCATGCATGACACATTTTCCATGGTTAATGCATGATTACTACCTAATATGTGCTTCCTTCCTCCTAGGATTCCAAGGAGACAGACATCCATTTTCTTGTATAAACAAATTCTTTGAGAATTTAAAAGATAAATCTGTTGCTAGTTCATAATGGTCTCTTTGGGGTTGCTGTGTTTTTAACTATCTCTGTTTTCAGGGATTTGAATCAATGAACCTACGGATCCACAGCGTTGTCTGAGCTGAGGGAGGATTGTAAACATAAGGAGCTTCGGTTAACAGTTGAAAAGCCCTGTCCAAGCCCATGGAGAATAAGAGAGATCATTACTAATTGCTCTGATGGGTGAGGATAAAGAGTGACTTCTGATGCAGCCAGCACAGGGGAACAGACAAATAAGGTCTCCAGGAAGCAGAAGAGGAACCAAAGACTGCTTGTGTGTCTGATCAAACCTTTTAGGAGAAAGAATAGGGAAATTGTGATATTGAGAAACCAAATAAATGTTACAAATGAGGCCTACTGGGGGTCCCAAAGGAAGCTGAATTCTTAATGAGCAGACAATGTGCTAGGTTAAATGAGTGATGCTTTTTTTGTTTTTGAATACTTCATGTTCAAAACTGGGAAAGTTTCAACATTAATCTCTGCAGAGTTGAAGATATCTGGAACTTTGCCCAACAAAAGTAAAAAATGGAGATTATTATTTAATTAAAATAGAATGTATCTCATCTCTGAGTGAAATAGAAATAACGCAATAACAGAACACCAATGTTTAGAGTTGGACAAAAGGAAAATCCAAGTACAGAAGAGAGATTGCTGAGGAGGCAGGAAGAAAACCAGGGGCATACCAATAAAAAAAAGAATTTCACAAGCTTGTGGACAATGATATCAAATGTTAAAACAAACTCAAGTAAAATGAGCCCAGGGTGGGGGAGAAAGAAGCAAACATTAAATCTGACTTTTTTTTTTATTATTACATTTTAGGAAATTGGTGGGGATCGAGATCTAATTTCTTTAGGCTAAAGAGATAAAAGGAAGTGAAAAAAAAAACAGCCCAAAATGCAGTTGTTCTTTGGTGTTAGGTAGGGAAGGAAAGGAGAACAAGAAGAAAGGAGGAAAACAAAAAATTGCATTGATTAGTTTTAAACTAAATTGAAAATAACTGAGTGTTTCTGTTGGCTGTGACCAAGGAGTAGAAAGAGAGAACGATGAAGGATACACTGCAAGTGTGTAGTATGAGGTTTGTTTTTTAAACTTTTTATTGTGAATTGAGTGAAGGTTTACCGAACAGATCATCAGTTTGATATTCAACAAATCATATCCTTTGCTTCATTTCAATTATTGCAACCCCCTCTATGTAACATCAGGTATCCTACTCCCTCCCTGTGATTCTTGTTTCTTTTCCACATTCTTTCCCATCCCTTCTAGCTTTGTCCTTAGGTCAGTGCTGCCCTTTTGGTCTTGAATGATTGGCCAGTCTATGGTGTACACACCTCACTAGTGTCATTGCCTGGCTGAAAATTGAGCTACGAGGTGAGTTCAGTTCCAGACCTGCAGGGTGACCAAGGGCTGGAGTCTTGGGTCCCTCCAGTGTCTTTTTGACCAGTAAGACCTGGTAGTTTTGTTTTGTTTTTTAAATAGTTTTGAGTTTTTGTTCCACATTTTCTTCGTATGGGTATTCTTGAAAAAGAACTTATTTGCTATCTGTTGAACTTATTCCAGCTGTGCCTGTTAGTTTATCGTCTTCTTTCTGTTTTGATATAATTTATAAATCTGAAATAGCTGTTTTTATTGTCAGTTTCTTTTCCTTTAGATTTTGGACATACAAGAATTATTTCCTTCCTAAATGTCCCTTCTTTTTTGTGCATACCCATTTGAAATTCAAATGTATCTCTCAACTCTCTATGTAATGGTTTGGTTTGTCTTGTTGGACTCTTTTTTCTTCATTGATATAGTTGAGATTTATTTTTAAGACTATTTTCTGTCAATCATTTCTCTCTTGATATACTACCTTTCACTTGATAATTTAGAGTCACAAAATAAAGTTGGCATTTATTGAGTATTTTTTCAGAAGCAATGCATTTGAATTATGGTGTTGGTGAAGACTATTGAAAGTACCAAGGACTGCCAGAAGAACAAACAAATCCGCCTCGGAAGAAGTACAGCGAGAAAGCTCCTTAGAGGCAAGGATGATGAGACTTGTCTCATGTACTTTGAACATATTGTCAAGAGGCATCAGTCCCTAGAGAAGAACATCATGCTTGGTTAAGTGGAGGGTCAACAAAAAAGAGGAAGACCCGTAATGGGATGGACTGACAGAGTGACAGCTACAGTAGTCTCAAGTGTAACAATTGTGAAGTGGGCATAGGACCAGGCAGTGTTTCATTCTGTTGGGATTGGGTGGCTGTGAGTCACAACTGACTCAATGACACCTAACAAAAACAAAAAGTATGTCCAATCACTGGGTTAAGCTTCATTTTGTTATCTGTAAATAGATTTGATTTATACTGCTGTGAAGCATACATGTAGAATACTTGGAACATCGTCTTATTTATGTTGTTAGTTGCTGTCTTGTCAGTTCCAACTCAAAGTGACTGTATGGGGTTTGCAAGGAGCACTGGCGGGTTGAATCACCAACCTCATGGTTAGTAGTCCGGTGCTTGTCCTACAGCACCACACCAAGACTCCAGTGGTTTATTGGATGCCCACCATTGTTTTTACCTTTGCTTCTTATAACAACCCTAGAAATGCTTTAAAATACAATTAGTACCTCCATTTTACAGATGAAGAAACTGAGGCTTCTAAAGAGTAACTTGCCCACGATTACGCAGCTAAATGGTGGAGCCAAAATTCAGATTCAGTTAGTTCAACACCAGAGCTGAGTTTTAAATTAGCAGCACTTTTTATTTAAAAAAAGAAAAGGAAAAGAGCTCTGCCTTCTTCAAAGTATCCGTACCCTCCCTTTCCTTGTTCATTACTAAATCTATGGGGTCATAGCCAATTTCTGCCATGATTTTAAAATCTTTCTTTTGTGTCAACATTATAATTTCTCTTTAATCATTTATCATTCATATTTTCCACTGTTCAAGGCTGCTCCACAGTGACATCATGGCTAATTTCCCCCATTATTTCATCCATGTTATTTGTGGTTTTCCAAGTAGCTGCCTGTTTGAAATAGAACATTGCTTCTTTTTCCTTGGTATTGGGTAGACTTATTTTGGATACAGTTTTATTTTCCTTTGTAGCTTCCTCATTGTGTACCTCGGCCTATTTCTTTTACTACCTTTTTATTCTGCTCAGACGACAGACACAACTCCTGATTCACCAGAACCTTCTTACAACTAATGAAAAGCTAATAGTATAATACTAACTGT